AGTTCGGATTTTTCATCTAACGAGATGACATGAGCTCTGTGAAAGCTACAGCTTCATTGTATAATTATCCGACATGGTCTACAGTATCAATGTAGAAAATTACATGTTTTCGTTCATATTGCATATTGTAACTACATTTGATTAGTGAGTATAAACCAACTTTTGGAGACTTTTCTACAAGCCCGTGTTAATTTCACGACAAACGGTTTGTGTGAGAACTCTAGAATGTTGCTTCAATTTTTGTAATTTCAATTTAATGATTTGTCTTTGCTAAATGCATTCAAAGTCTACTATTCAGATGGTAAAGTCAATGGCATCACAATAAATAAATATGAAAGTTTCAAAAGTTTCTATATTATATTATATTTAAATTACCTTGTACATTCCTGTGATTGTGAAAACTTGTTGGTTTGTTTCCCACACGGACTGTTGCGAATGAGCACTAGATCTCTGCAAAAATACACAAAGCAAACGTATTCATTTTAATTTAAAGAGTATAAAGACAGACGTAGTATAATAGATCTCATCATTGTGTGGTACTCGTTATTACATCATCAACAAATAAACAACAATATCGAATGTAATAATTTTGTACCGACTATAGGGTATTTCGAAGAATACTATAAGGTTATTACGAGGATACCGAAGAGTATGCACGAAGACAGTACAACGTATCGACCGACGTACTGTTTGGGTGCATACTTTGCGGTATCCTCGTAATAACGTCATTGTCATACATCTTATCTCTCCCAAGGATACATCATGGGAATGGCGAAATTCAAAGAGTTTAGAAAAGATTTAGCGATTTGTTCAGTGTGGAGTCCGGTCAAACCCCGGGGCTGCATGGTTTGGTTTTATTATTAGAAGACGTTCACGCGCATAATCGCTCCACATTTGGAATTCGCATTTTCTAATATGGTATGATAAAAATACCCAGTGCAATACCACAAAATTACGGCACGCTGTAACTTATGGCGTTACGGTGACAGATGTATAATAATTGTCAATATGTCCAAAGATTTATAATATTTGATGATTGCCGTTCTCAATATTTATTAATTTTTTGTATGTAAATCTTTTCTCCGTACACTGTTCTAAGTACATATTTACATAACACGTAAATTGGTCAATGAACTGAACATTTGAGAAAAACGCAATATATATTTCGCAACATTTATTCTGATGTCTTAGTATTGAGCATATGATGAAGAAAACACAAAACTAGTAGTCACGTAAAATTATGTAATATTATCCCAATTAATTCTATAAAAAAAAATCAATACACAATTATGCGATTAATGGTTGAATGACAACGATTACGCTAACTCACGGAGACAAATAACAAGAATAACGGTAACGTATCCCTGGAAACGGAAAAAAAATTACGCCAAGTTTCGTAGCATTTCACATATCCGTATTTAAATACATTGTCTGGAGTCGCAACTGCATTCATCAATTCAATCACGAATTAGGAAAAAAATCTTGAAAACATGCAGCTTGTACAATTATTGCCGGCTTTATATTCTGATAGATTGTGTTACATTGTTGAAATCCAATCTGCCGAGATAAATCGACTGATAATCAAATTATTCATAACCACAAGGCAAATGCCTATTCGAATGTGAAGCGTGGGCGCTGTAAATGATGTAATGTTAATAGTTCTCAGTACGGGAATACCTTATGAATACTCCGAACAGTTCGCTATATTTTTCTTTCACGCGGTATTGCATGTACGCCGTTCATTGTATCCGGTGTCATGGCATTCACTATTTTATTCATATGGTCGCGCAACGTGTCCTTGAAACAATGTGCCACACATTTCTCTTTCTGTGAAAAAACGCTGTATTCACGCCACAAAAAAGAAAAAAAAAACTACCTGCACGCGAGAAATAAACAGCTGCACTTCTATGAATCGGAATGTCTTCATTCCGAAGCGAATAAGATAATGATCTTACTTTGGATGTGAGACTTGTATAACTTCCCCCGAGCCCCTTTTTCCGCCCATTCATGCTGAAAGTAATTTCATCCCATCTGATCTTCCAAGCCATATCAGCTAATGCTGCTTCTAGTTTGTACTTTCTACATAAGAAATACAAATGTGACATGAATATATCCCCTTACTAATACATGTGAAACGTGTACACAGCACGTTATACTGATGCGATTTAAGTGGAACATTGGGCAAAAGATTTGAGCAAGTGAGGCACATCTTTGAATGCAGCTGTTAAGATTCTTAAACAGTCAAAATTAACATAACGTGTTGCCGAACAGTAAAGTGATATTAATTATGCAAATATATCTTCGTCTTATTTTGCGTTTATCATATCGTATATTCTGGTTGTCCAAAGTTCACCGACATGTACCACAGTGACAGCCCTTTGATATGCAAATTAACATGGTGCATTGCCATTATTGGCATAATTGGTTCACCAAAGTTCGATTAAATTCTTAGATTTATTTTTGCAATCATTCTGGTTGTTATTCAATGTTTTTAAAAATGAAAATTGAAAAACAAAGTTGAACTAGTGCTGGAATTCGATTATTAAATGAGTTTGTCTGAATTGACGCCTACAGTCAATAATGTATTTAGGTTAATCGGAAGATTGATTGATATTTTTCACGTAAATGCACGTGTTACAACGTACTCGTATACACTGTGCTTTAAAAGTTCCTCACCTGTACAGCAAAAAGGCAAATACTGCTAGCAAAGCTATAAGACTGCCAAACACGATGGATATGATTGCCGCTAATGATAATGGCTCTGAAATAAACAAATGTTGACCTTGAACATAAGTACTGAGTAAACGAGAACATTTAAGTATTTGGCACGCAAAGTAAATTCAGCACCAGCAAACCTGCTGTAAAATCGGCGGCCACGTGGTTATTGTCATATTGGTGTTTGTTCCCCTCGAAAAAAAGATTTCCGTAAGAACTAACAAATGATACTTGCATATTTGATATATAAATTAAGTAACATTGCAATAGCCAGTTAAAGTGATTCTTAGTTTTATGAAATCAATCTATCAATTGTACGTAAATGGCTATCAAGCTGAAGAAAGAAAACACCCACACATTTCTCACGCGCGAACGACTTATACATCTGTATTCTGTGTTTTATCACCTACACACAATATACAATCAACTCCGTTCCCTGTTAAAATTCCTTGGGGCTAACATCAGTTCCACATTAAATGTCCCCCAAAAGCTCAACTATACAAACAACCATGGAAAGTCTGAGATTTGAATCGGCTGTACATATTGATGCACATAGTGAAAAAGATCGATTCTGTCATCCATTCGAGTCAAGTCACATCGAAAAAAAAGTGTTATTGAATAAAAAATTCTATGTACGTAGTATGCAAGTAATATTCATGGGTAATGATAAGAAAAGTAGTATAAAAGCGTGAAATATGAATACGACATTAAAATGCTTGGCGTTAAATCTCGACAACATATCGTAAACGAACACTATATTACAGAAAGCATAATACGATTAATTGGTATTGCTTGCTTTGCAAATGTCAACAGTTTGTTGTATATTGCGGCAATACAAATGACATGTATAAACGCATACGTATTTTCCTTATTAACCGAGCTGTGTACGGAACAGATATTATCATTCACTGTTTCATGAGTTAGGCAACTTAAAGCCAAGACGCCATTTTAGTAATTATGCTCATGTCTCTTTCAGTCACTGGTAGACTTGTATGATGTAAGGATTTCTAAATACTATAGCACACATTCGATGGTTTATTTTTACGTGAATATATAAATGTCAACTGTTTTCAAATTATTACACCAGCACGGAGATTAAACACAGTTACTATAATATTGTAGCTACAAACAGCATATAACATATGTACCTTTTTCACCGCATAGCTCCCCTTCAAACCCGCACTCCGGTACATCGTCTGGAGGTGTATCTCCTGGCCAGTCTATATCAACTCCATCGACAGGTTCATATTTTTTTCGAGTACCGTAATAGTTTGCAATAACCTACAGAATGACGATACACAGTTGCTAGCTAAGTGTGGTTAGTTACACATAAGGCCATCACATTTTATGTTTATCGAAGATTTTACTTAAAAACATTTAAAACACCATCGCATGTGAATCGTTGTTATATTGCTCCAATCTGACAGTTGCTAGAGGATTGTTACGTTAAGGTGCTGAATTATTCTTGTTGTACTAAAAGCGTACTTCCTTCTGACCTAGTTTTAAGTGTACATTCATCATAATTTTTCTTACTTTGGTAAATATCCTGTTTTTGTACACTCATAAACGGAACGCCTACAACTGTGTATACCCTGGAAATTACATTTCTAATCAACTTCATAATAATTATTAGAATCAAGATGTACCGCATTTCCTCTCTTTGCCGAGGCGGTTTCTGGATCAAAGGCATTTACGAACATATTACGATTACAGTAATATCGACTTGTGCCAATTGATTAAAATATAAATTGAAGTTAATGCAATTACATGACAAAATCTGAGAAGAATATTGGAGGATTGCTTAAGGCTTAGATTGTCGTCAAGTCGTCCATTTGAAAAAAATTAGAAAAATTGCATATTATTTTTAATCGTTTCTTTGTTTAACTTCTATATGGCGTTGTGAGGTACGTATAAAAACAATATTGAATTTGCGCATTAAACAATAAATATATATAGATAAAGATTCGCGAGTTGTGTTAGACATAAATTAAGTATCTGGGAATTCGGGATTGTGGTCCCCAAAACGTAAATACAATATACTCAATTTCTTGGCAAGACAGCTTCGAACAAAACAACAAACATGTCAGACGGTCTATCATTTTGTGGGAGCAAGTCGTTCACAACCGGTAATGCAAATCAAGGCGAATCGATTAAGATTAACAGGTCTCATTTATCGATTTGCGACTTCTTGGTAATTTTGAGAAAACAAATGTATATCATAATTCTGATTTGATATATATTCTCCCTGTTTGTCGCAACTGTGACATATTTTAAAACCTGCGAATAGCAATGAATTGCAAATAAACGATATGAATAACTAGGAAACAACAAAATGAAAACGAATATCAACAAACAACTCAATGTAACGTTGATGAAATGGGATTAGGTATATTTTAATCACGGACAATTACTGTTGCCACATCGGGTATCATAACAAATGACGTCAAACTATTCCAATAAAGTGACAGTTACATTATTGCCTTTCATATATATGGTAATAATAAGAGCGGCAACAGACTCTAATATTGTTTATTATATTGGATTCGCACTGCACAATGTATTGAAACTGTCTGCAATTTTAAATGTCAAGGGGATTTTTGCATTTGTAAGCTGATTTTCATATTCGTTTTCAACTTATTTTGTGTCTCTTAGTTTAGATTCAATGTAATTTGAACGGTATCGTACATCTTTAATGATCGCGTTTCATTTCATGGGTACAATTAAAATAATATCATAAGAGTGAATCTGCTTGTGAATCTGCTAATATTGCGAATATCATTTTTTTATTCATGTTGACTGAATTATGACATACATATAGATCAGATTTGTCGTGAATAAATACAATTTGTGTTCAATGGAATGTTTCGAAATACAGAGAATGAAACAACTCATGATCGGTTCAGAGATGCGCTGTAAACTACTAATGGCTGTCCCCCCCCTGCATAACAAAGCTAATGTACTTTGTAACTATGTCATTTCTGTGAATAGCTCGTAAGCGCTTCCTGCTCGAAGGACGATCATAATTAAATCAGGGTATGCGAGGGAAGCTGGAATATATCATATACATATGCGTTTCCATGGAGATAAAATACATTCCCATCTGTTAGTGAAATATTTCTATAGAGGGCATTTTATTTCGTATGCGAGATATGCTCTCCTGCGTAAGGTTTTCGACGCAAGAATAAATCGAGCGTATGTCGATGAATAATTTAAGAAAGGCATCACCTAATGATGAATATATCCGACGCGGAAGGAAACCGGAAGGAAATTCCTAAATTTTCTCTGCAGCATACTGGTAGATTAAAACTGTTATTCAATTGATATACAAAAAATGAATCAAAATTATATTTAAAAATTCAATTTTATATTTAAATTTTACAGAGAATTATCCCTCGCCAATAATCATTTCAATAATTCGCATTGATCGACATGCATAATACCTGAATAAGACAGAAACTGTACAGATCGAACTGTAATGCGCACTGGTCGCCCATCAATGTACTATCCAGTCTTTGTGATAAAAACTGTTCTAATTAAGCATTGTGTGTCCATACATACGATATGTTTTTGTTCGCGAAACATTATATTAATAGTAGAGTTGCAGGAACAACTTTCGAACAGAATGTGGTTCAATTAGAGTGACAATTGTTTGCTTAAATATTAAAGTCATAGGTAGCCAAATTGAATGCTTAAATTTGTTAGTCTATTGTAATATATTTTCGCTCGGTCTATATAATTATTATTATAATTACAGTTGATGGTAGAAGTAATATACTTATTCTGATAATAGTATGGGTGAATAGTGAACAGTTGCTATTTTTAGATTTAGGTCTTTTGACGACGTCAAAGTCGACGTCGCATGTTAACAAAGTTTTAATGTTAACGAAAACAGTCATTACTAAATAACCATCAGTGCTTCTTCATCACGTCATATTTTACGCACCTAAAACGAGCTGAAATCATATAATATATTATAGGTATTATTGTTACTCACTGAGAATGTTCCATTTTCTATGTCTGTCATCTCCAATAAGGAGTAGTCTGCGTCCCTGTCTCCGTTTTCATCTATTCTCACGTCGCCACTGATACCTTCAATTTACACATTTATCAGAAATCAGCATTCAATCAATCAATCGATCAATCAATCTATTGTATGGGTATCAACATATTGCAGGTCACTCTAGAATGCATGGGTGCATATCTTAACATGGTTTAACTGCTCTACTGAGACGGAATTTACACTTAGATATATCATTGGTTATTCAATTTGGCTAATTTCACATACAATAACTAATACATCAAGGTCATTGTCCACTTAATTAACATAAAATGTTACACGCAAAGAAGAATTGAACACACACCAATATAAGAATTACAGAAAACCTGCTGATTATTAAATTATCACTAGATAAATTATAAACTAGATTATATCATATATTTTCGGTATTTATACTTGCCGTTCGCTGAAGAAAGGTTACTCTACTAACCTTCAAAAGTTCTACCCCACATTTTGTATGTGATTGTATGGCCATCACGTGGGGTGCCACCTTCTTCCAGGGTCTCATTGAGTGCCAAAGCATACAGTATAACAGCATCGTGAAAAGCACCAACAAAACTGTTCACCTACAATGTAAAACAATGTTAAAAATTACGTATTATTTCATACCTAATACGAATTGTCGACGGAAAAAAAACGGTTCGGTATGATGTAAAATGATAGACTAAACTTTAGGCTAGTTATTACAAATTCCATATTCGCATCACAATGTAGCTAGGTTACTTGCGAATATTACCAAGACGATTGTCACACGACTCTCCGTTTTTAATGAACGTTTAATAAAAGACTCATATTACAGTTATCGGAAAGGAAATACACAACGTCTATTCAAATCAAAGGTCGTTACAGACGTAATTCATCTGACTACGCAGTTTAATAAGTTTTATCCGAGATCGTTTCACTAAACATTTAATAAATTAGTATTTAATGCAACTATAATTGCCACATGTACATTTCCGAAATGAAACATTCTGGAGAAAAGATGCCAAAAAAAGATAAAGTAAGTTCTCGTGAAATATTTAAACCCAATTCAATGAGCATGCTGCGTCCTATCTGTTAGAGCTTAACACTCATTAAGAAACTCGTAAATATCAACTTCTCTTATTTGTCGCTATTGTCCAATGGATATGTCCATTACAACTCGTGTTTCAGAAGGGAAGCTTTAATTATAAATACACAAAACCTACCCAGATGATAATGACGTGATGGTCAATTCAATGTTTCTTTCATTTATTTTACTCAGTTTCAATAACAAAATACTTAATAATCACGAATCTGATTACGAAGCGCCTCTATGGCGAAAATGATGTAAAGTACGTTAGTTTTATATAGATTTGTGTTTTTTCGTCATTATAAAAAAATACTTTTTTGAGATATTTGTTATAATTACACGTAACAGAAAAAAATCGACACTAGATGGAGCGACTTATTGAAAAGTTGTTTTATGTTGCTCAAACCCCCAATTATGTGACGTGTCTGCATCTGTACAGCAATTAAAATTAACTCACATCTTCTCCTTCTTTATCGTAGTCAAATCCGTAATCCTGTAGTGCTCGCTGTTTCACATCTCTGGCGAAATCTTGATATTCTGTCGTATCGGGCTTTCTCAAAGTCAAAGTCATCAGGGAACGATAAGCTTCCTTCGCGTCCTCATCTCTTCCATCGCCACCCTCTCCTCTCTTCCAACCAATATCTCCGAAGTAGGCACTGTCAAATAGTTGTATGTTAAAGAAGGCGTATTCAGCTCGACCAGTTTCTTTGTTTATCTTCGTCATCCCCAGGTCATGGGCGGCTAACATGATTTTTCTGACAGCCTCTCCAGACGCACATATCACCACAACTGACAATACAAATATACATACTGTTATTCAGATGAATTAGATTGAT